TGTCTTGCTTTGGAAAATCCTTTTATTGCTTATTTGTGCAACATGTGGATACTTTGAATTTAAGACTATTTTCATAGAATAATGCTCTAATAGCCAGAAAAACAAACAAACAAGCATGTAAGATAGATCCATAATCAAACTTTATGCTATTCCTTAAAAATGCTAGGTTAAGAATATCTGAGACTATATTGTATTGCCTTCAAACTGAATTTGAATAAATCATGTCTGCCTTCTGTGGCAAGCAGAGGGGGGGACCTTCACTGCTGTGCACTGGGAAGGTTCACAAAAGTGAAGATGAACCAGGCTAATAAGGTCAAATATGTTTATTTCCTTTTAAACAAACAAGTGAACAGCTGAAGAGGTGGCCCATATAGCTGGCTTGGTTTAAAATCAGTAACACTGTTTGGTCTACTCTTTAGTAATTTATTTGAAATGCCAGTCAGGGGGCATTTTAATGGGTACCAAGCATTTGAAAAGAGAGGTTGTGTTACACACACCAGGGGGCTAGCCCATCCTTGCTTTCCATAGGGCAGGCTGGTGTAAAACACAGACCCCCTAACTTCCCAGCCTGCGTCCCTTCAGCCAAAGCATCACAGGAATGAGACACAGGAATCTGTACACTTACCTATGTCAAAACACAGTTAGTTCTGTTACTCTGACTGAATTACTAGGAAGACCTGCTCAAAAACAATTAGCAGTTTATTTCACATTAGATTTTGTTATTATGGTTGAAGATTGTATTCTGGGTTTTATGTAGTCAGAGTGTTTTGGTTTGATTTGCCCTAGAGGGTAGTGATGGTAATTAATGCTGCAGCTTCCTGTCCATAACCTATTAACTGATAACCAAGGAGAGAGGGAAATGACAACTACATCTGATGAGAGGCTGCTGAGTTAGCCAAGCATGCCAATTCCATTACTACACAATTGCAGGGTTCTGCGTAGGCAGATAGACCTTTGGGAGTCCTTTGATAGGACTGGAACATTAACAGTGTTTGTAATATGCCAAAATATCCTGCAAAACATCATAGACACCTGTTCTAGCTCCTTCTTGTAAAAGGAGAATAAATTATTTTATTTCTTCTCTGTGAAATGGTTCCAGCATCCTTTTGAAGTGCTCTCATTACATACTGCAGTTGAGGTGTTTGCAAGAGTTACGTGACTCCTAGCAAGATTTGCAGGAAGAGTATGACTGTCCGTATTCCTATTTACTCCTTTTGCCCCTGAGCAGTTAGACAGAATTTAGGGCCATTGCATGTTCTTTCATGAGGAAGGAAAGTTGTCAAAAAGTTATTAATAAAGGAGATTTTTTTTTCTTGGGTGCTGTTCTGCAGATCTGTAAAGAACTTCCCTCAGCTTTTGTGTTCATCAGTGCAGTGAGAACACGTAGCAGGAGGCAGCCTCTTTGCGCACGGATTGTGTTTCTTGCCAAGCTGCATTCTGCCAAAAAAGGGTTCATTTTTGGCCATCCTCCTGCAACCACAAAAGAGCTTCTCCCTTAGGTGGTTACCTAGATTTTGGGGCTTTCCTTGTAATTGTATCTTTGCTGCATATCCACCAACCTGTGCAGTGAATGATGTCCGTCTCCAGTCTCTCAAAAAGAGGAGCATTTGATTATTCCTATGTTTGGGAGACAGGGGCACACCAGCCTAAGTTACAGTTACTGGGCTAACTAGAAAGGACAAGCTATTTCCTCTCAGTCTGCCTTGCTTAGGAGTGAAAACTCACTAGCTTCAGTCATCTGCACAGCTATAGACTGAGAGCTCTTCACATTTTACTCTGTAGTGTGAAAATGCTGTGATAATCCTTTGAGTCCAGGATTTGACTCTGCTGCATATCATACAAGACACAACAAGGACAGAGCCTCTTACTCAAACAACTTGCAACAAAATATATTTGACTTCAGCAAAAGACAAAACCTGGGCATGTTTTTTAACCCAAAGTTAACAGTCAGTTGTCAAGCATGGAAGCGGTAGAAAATTTGCTTCTGTATAATTTTGCAGTTTTATTTCACTTGTTTCCCTAAGAATAAGCATTTTGTAAAATTCACTGGTCCTCAGTTTTCCCAGCAAAGACTAATGTACGCAGAGATGTTGGTTACATTTTTCATGTTTTATTTATACAGTGCATGAATCCAGTTCTCAGTAGAAACAGATTCTTCTCTTTTACCTGCTCTGAACACTCTCTTTTTATTGTAGTAAAATATTTCCACTGCGTCACTTTTAGCCACAAATGGAATGTGCTGCATTTGTTAGCTCATAAGACTTATTTTTGCTGTAGTTCGATTAATATGAATTTAACATAATTCATCTCAGTGCATCAAAACGTCTAAATTGTGCTTAAATTCTTTATGCTAATTTTATCAGATTCATTCTCAAATTAATGTGATTATGGATGTAAGTACTAATCACTCCCATCCTTCATGCTTTGCCAATGGTATTCTTACTTCTTTAACTTACTGCATAGGAAGTGATTAAATTCATCAGAACAGTCATAAGCTGTCTGCATGGCTATTACTCTAAAAGACAGGTATATGATTTAATTTTTAAAGCCACAAGTAACAGTTCACATGGAGGGTACAGGAAAGGAAGAAATGTTGGGAAATAAAGCAAATGAATTTAGGTATGTAGTTCTCAGGCAGTGTGCTTTCTATGTGTGCCTTTGTTTGAGCTGCAAATAAAAGTTGCAGCAAAGACTGGCTTAGTTCAAATGGAAGGTATGTTTGGTCAGTCTCTGCTCAGAGAGTCAGTGAACAGTGCAAACAGCTGTCAGGCAAGTAAGGATACTCTGTAGTCATCTCTCTTTCAGTTCAGCAATGTGAAATGGTGAAAGCATTAAGTTGAAATGACAGGTATTGACAACATACCACGGATTGGTGTGCCCTGGGGGGACACCAGTTGAGGGGTGGAACTAGATGATCTTTAAGGTCTCTTCCAACCAAAACCATTCTATGATGCCATGATTTTGTTGCAGAACTTAATGGCTGTGCTCTGCTCCCCTCCAGCTGCCTGGCTGTAGTACAAGACCATGCCCAGAGCCCCAGTGGCTGGATGAAAAGCTGGGTAACTTTGGCACTGGCCAAAGCACCCCACATCATTCCCACAGGAAATGAAGCCTTAAGCTTTCAGGTCAGCCCACTGACCTGCAGCTCCTCCTTGCAGATCCTCATAGTAGGATCATGGGGCTGGCCCAGCCCAAACCAGGGACTTGGTGGATTTTATCAAACCTGTCTGGAAAACTGCTGTGATGGCTCAGAATTTTTGCTGACTTTTAGTCTGGGGTAGCTGGCTGATGTCAGGGATGGTGCCACCTGAATGTGTGTGCAGCCTTTTGGAAGTGCCTTTGGGTCAAAGCAGCCCTTGTGGGGATGGGTGATTAATAAGGGAAGAAGGGAGAAAGGCCAACCACCAGCTGAGAGGCTACATTGAGTACGGGCAAGAGAACCAGGCAAAAAACACATTGACCCAGACCCGTGAAAAACAGTCCAGGGATAATTTAAGAACCTTAGTGAACACACCTGACAGCAGAAGAAAGAGTGAATACTTCTTCCTTTTTTTGTTTAACCTTCTCAAACCACTCTACAACCCTTCTTGGGCATAGTTTATAAGAACTGTTCAGACACCGTGGAAAAAAGATGCAAATGTCTGCTCTGCCATGTGTGGTGAGGAGAAAAAATGAATCACCAAAAATAAAAATCAGTCTTTCAAGTGAATCCTGTCAGAATCCAATATCATAACCTATCAATAAGCCTATATTTTCGTGAGCACCAAGCTGCACCACAAATACTGAAACAGAATAAATGCACATTTGGGCAGTTGCTTTGGGAATGCTTTTCAGCAACAGAAGGTGTTGCACTGGATGTCTAATAAGCTTTTCTGGTTCAGGGAACAGTCCAGACAGTCCTCTACTTGCTGACCTGCCAAAATGATATTTTAAAGAGACAAATAAATCCTAAAGTGATCTCAGTACAGCCCAGTTGGTCATCTGGAAATACCTGCAGAAGTTCAGGGGAAAGCATATTTTCCTGTGGCCACAAATGATGATTGTCACTTTGCCGTTACTTCTGTGACTTCAGATTCCCATGTAGCATGTGGTGCTTCCCCAGGAACAGTGGGTCAGTGCTGGCACAGCAAAGCCGTTCCATTCCTTCTGGCCTTACTTGATGCTGATGGCTTAGAAGCCCATGTGGAGGACCTCATTGCTCTCTCTGAGGAGGCAGATGGACATGAGATCCTCTCAGAAGAAAAATGGCATTGCCCCCCACTTACTCACTAGTAGTGGACACAGCACACTTCCCTCCACCATCTGCTCACCGCTTCCCAGCATTTTGAAGCCAGTCTCTTTCAAGGTGCGTGTCTGCAACTTCACCTGAACTGCAGGTGGGAGCCACTTCCCGACTTCACCAGCTCCATTTAGCTGTGTTGCTTTGCTATTTGGATAAGATAAAGCTGTCGTCTCATGAAGAGGCAAAGCCACTATCCCTGGTATCCTACCAAAGAAAAATCTCCATTGCCAGCAGCATTTGCCTTTCACAAAGGAGTATGTTCAGAGCTGGGTACAATTTACAGAGTAAGTAACTCTGGCTGAGATGGGATAGCTGAACAAACCTTAGAAAAGTTCAATCAAAAATAAAAGAAATCACCCAAACTGGAATTCTAAGTTACTATCTTCTTCACAGCCTTTCTTTCACATCGAGAACAGCTTGCTTGTTTTGGTTTCTAAAAACCATCGGTTTACTGACATCTGAGGGGGATTTTCTGTTATGTGGTACTTTTTGGAGTGCTGTTAGCATATTTTTTTTTCTATCTTAACTTGTGAGAGCTGTTTGTTCCATCTACCTCATTTATAAAAGTTTAAAGTCCCTGTCACTGATAGGTACTGAACAAACCTAGCAAGAGCTGGGGATTTTTGTTCCACTTAGCTTCCTATCAGTAACATTTGTCTTTGCCTGCTTAAATGCAAAATGCTGGCAGGTGTGTGACATTATCTCATTTGTCTGACAGGTAAGCTGCAAAGTCCTGCAATTCTTTCATCAGTACATGTTGGGCTGCAACTACTTCTGGATGCTCTGCGAAGGCATTTATCTTCACACACTGATTGTGGTGGCAGTGTTTGCTGAGGAGCAGCGTTTGCACTGGTATTACCTCCTGGGCTGGGGTATGTATGATATAATTCATAGCAAGATGGTTAATTATTTCACATGTTTGAATTCTTCTAGTACTTAACACACCTGAATTGTTGTATGTACACCACTAGTTCATAGTTTAAGATTGAGTTCTTGGGTCCTACATTTGAGTTCATTTATTTGGGTGGGCCTAGAGACTTAGAAAAATCAGCAGGAGTTGGTATGTATTATTTGAACTGTCTTGGGATTGGCTGAAAGAAATGTTTAAGTTCTGTTAAACAAAGCTTTGGGAGAAAAATAGATTTCTATCCAAACATATCTCTTTTCTGAACAGAAGTTGTGTATTTTTGTCACTTTATGTGGAGAAATATTAATCTGGTACCTATCCGCAGCACTTCAGATAGTTCACTATTATTCATCTCTTGCAATTGCAGCCTGAAACAGATAGAATTCACTCTTTATTTTCCATCCTCTTTGGAGGTGTTATACTTGCTCAACATTATTTCATTAACAGCGGGAAAATAAGTAGCCCTACTGCTTAAACAGAGAAAAATTAGGAATTAATTCAATCAGAGAAAAATGACCCAGTTCTGAGTGTTCTGAAGAACTTCAAAACTCTGACTTCAACCACTAATTGGGCATCCAATATCAGGTCCTAAGTAAGTGGTTGTTCTTCCCCTCTTTGAATTTTCATATAAGAGCCTGGTAACTTACTTGCCTCTTACGGTTCAAGACTTAGTGCTTTCTGGATACCTACATTAGATACCTAGAAAACTGGCATGATTTTCTAGTTTATATGATTGTTCTAAGGCATGTAAGAACTATTTTTTTTTAATCAGAATGCCATTATCACTCTTTTTTCTTATAAGAATGCCATCTTTTCTGAGAAGAACCTGTTGTGCTTTTGAAATTAGAAGTACATGGAGCATCATCGACTCTTAAATGAAGATAACATTCCTGAAGAACCCTAAATTGACTCAAAGTTTTTGGACTTTGTCAATCTAAATAGCTGAGCCCTCTTGGAGCAAGCAACTGTGCTGTCATAAGGTTTTCATAGTTCAGAATATTTGGATATACAAAGTCAGATGGGGCTCTGCTTTTGAAATGGCAGCCGTACGTCAGGAGTCATTTTAAATGTTTCTTTCCAGATAAAGCTTTTCCCATTTTCATGTCTTGCAACATAAGCCTTCCCAAAATAGTGTCTTTCTATATCCAATTATGCAAGAGGAAAATGGTCATAAACATATTTTTCTCAGGTGACATTCAATTTAGGCAGTGCAATTTAATGCAACTGGGACAGCTAGGCTGCCGTGAAAGCTCATGAGCTAGCTATAATGTTGCTGAGAATGGCACTAGCATCATGGTGGGTAATTCAGTGAAGTTATGTCATAAGAAACTCATCAGTATCTGAAGCACTGCCCAGAAAATAAATAGGATGGTGGCAGTGGTAATAGGATGATGATATCTTGAGAAGGAAAAAGTTAATAAAAATAGACACAACTCTTGGCTATGAAGCCAGCAGCCTTTTTCATTAGATTAGATGAGTACTACCCGAAAAAGGTAATCATTAGCATGTCATAACTAAAGTAGGAATCATTAATAGTAAAATGATCTAGCCAAGACTATCTGGCCACCCGTTAAGCTTTATAAATCAGTGTAATTCCACTGATTCCAGAAGCAGTCATCACACAGTCTGACTTTCAACATCCAGCTATGTTAATCAATGGAGAGAGATACATTGCTCCAAAGAAAAGTGCAGAGAAACCAGAGCAGGCTGTGCTCTGAATTACAATTTGAAAGATCAACGTAAATGTACAACGCAAGATGAAGTTACTCATTATTCGTTGTTATAACTAATCCCTATGCAAGAACATCTAGATTATTTTATTTGAAAAAATAACTAATGACATTTGTAAAATATCTTTATAAGGAAAATAGAAGTCTGAGCAAGTGTAAAAGATTTCTACAAAAGGTTTGAGATGATTGAATAGAATCTGACATGGGCAGATGTATATCAATGCTGATGCCTTCAGGTGACCCCTTTGCTGGGAAGTGCTGCTGAGGATGTCATTTCTCATTTGTTATTGTTTCACTGAGTCAGGAAATCACCCTTTTGCAGAGCAAGAAAGCAGTATCAAATGTATGCATCCAGCTACAGTCCACTCTTGCTGCTTCAGGCAGCCTCATCCATACAAAGTGAAAAGGAAGTTATTTACTTGGACAGTGCTGAAACAAAATGCCTTCCAAATTCAACTGGAAATACAAGTAAACATAATTGCCAGTTTGCGTCATAAAGGACCTGGCGTTTACCTAAAGGGATAGATACGCCATAACTTTCCTGGGATGACTGGGATAAGACCTTTTCTAGGTTACTCTCTGCTCACCATGTGTTGGTGGGACCCCCGGAGCAGTACACATTATGCCACCAAAACCCAACAAACCTTGGTGCTCCACTTCTCATTAACTCTCTGCCTTTTGGCCCTTTACAAGAGCAGAGCACATCTAGCCCTACAAGTGCCCATCCAGCCTGCAGCTGGAAATATCAGCTGTAGACAGCCATGAGCTTCTTACCCCATAACTGACTAATGAAAAGTTTCTGTTGCATCTTAAGATTTCCTTGTGAGTTTGTTGAGCCAAATATTCTAGGCTAATGCATTTAGCAGAAGAGAAAAGGTCCCTTGGCATCATGTGGGGCATACTACTTGTGATACTCCAGGCCAGAGCTTTCAGATGAAGAATTTTTGCTGTTACAGAAAGGCCCCTTTAAAATTGCACTTCAATCTGTCTGTCAACAAAACTGGCCCAGGCTTGCTCCATTTCCAAATGAAAAGGATTTTCTCAAACTGTCAATCCCATAAGCTCACCCTGAGCCTGGAAGCTCCTTTCATTCTGTTCTGAGCTTTTAGTTCTGCCGTGCATCATCACCCCCATAAAAAGGCGTTCTGCAGCCAGAGGCCAAGCAATCATTTTCTAACAATATATAAAGGAGAAGGCAGTCCAGTTTGTTCTCCTACAGCTGCATTGTCCTCATGAGTTTCACTGCAGTAAGAACCTTTTTTGGCAGTAAAGTAGCTGCTGCTCAAAGATACCTGGAGACATCAGTGTCCTATTTACATACTTTTTTGACTGTATTCTCATTCCTGCATTAGCTGGCCTGTGCTCTGATATGAGACTTCCCCAGATTTTGGCTAAGGGTTCTCTGTCTCTTCTAAAAGTGTTTATGAAATCACGTAACAGCTGAAGAAACAAGCAGCCGTGTTCTTCACTGTGACTAATAAAGGTATCAGAAGGACTTTTCCACACATTTATATTTATAGTTGTAGAATGCCCAAAGCTCAGGGAAAATGTTCATGGTTCATAGGGAAAGGCAGCAGTATCACCAAAGATGTCCACAAAGCTCTCTTCCAGAACAGACAAGGCAGTAGATTATCTCCCCACTGGTCAGCTGTCTGTATGTGCAGGGTTGCACAAACTTCATGCAGAATCATGCAGACTCCCCAGTTCCAGGTTTATACCCTGTTGGAGAGGGACACAACATACAAGCAAGCTGAAGGAAGATGGACAGCAGTGGACCAGATTATCACTATTAATGTCAGGCTGGAAATAATAATTTGAGGCTTTCAGTTTGTTAACATAGCACATTCCCAAGCCTCTGGCACAGTGCAAATTTGCTCCTATCAACTGCCTGTCAGATCAGTGGCCTCCCCTGAGGCTTCACAGATAATTCAGGGGATCTCGATTTACGGTATCCACAGCTCTTCTCCCTGCTGAGATAAAGCTGCTTGGGGTGGGCTTGGCTGTACAGAGGCTAAGAAGCTAGAGAATATATCACAAATCCCCATCCCCAGAAAACCTGGTTCCGAACATTTTGTCTTGCCTTAGGCTCCAAAAGAGCTGATCCTCACTCTGTTGGTTATTGCTCCATAATCTGGCATGTGAGGTAGTGTGCCTCTCTCTTGCTCAATAGTAATTTGCGTGCTTCTAACTAGTGTCTCTGGTTTCCCAAGGGGATACTCTGCTGAGAACTGAATGATCCCTGCATCCTTCCCACACTGGCTGCTCACACCTCTCTCTGCTGCACTAGCTGCAGCAGTGTGGGGGAGCCTGGCAGCAGCTTTGTGACACCCCAGGAGAACACAGCCTGTGGGCTTTGCTTCTCCTTTTGGCCTGCCTTAAACTTCCTTCCCTTTTGCATCTTACTGTTGAAGTAATACTAGGGAACTCAGAATGATAGGACTGCGGTTCTTTCCTGAAAGCTGTGATTTCACATGCTTGTGTTCTGTGGCCAAGAGCCTCATTAGTGTGTGTGGCACATGAAATTCACACTAAAAATATACCAAGACTGATCTTAAACTTTAATCATTTCAGGGTTCCCTTTAGTGCCAGCATCTATTCACGCTGTTGCAAGAGCCAGATACTTCAATGACAAGTGAGTAGTATGCCTGGTTTTGAAGGAACTTAGCATTATTTGTGTAATGAATTTGATTTGAGTTAAAAATAAATTTTAATGGTGTATTTTCCCTCCAGCTGCTGGATGAGTGTTGACACGCACTTGCTCTATATTGTCCATGGACCTGTAATGGCAGCTTTATTGGTAAGAATATTATTTTCCGTCAATAGTTTAATAATTATTTTAGGAATGCTGCTAACCTGTACAGAAGCTAAGATCCTGTACTTCAAGTGTTTTGATCAAAGCCTGAAAGTAGCTAGAGATTTTCTGTACTCAGTATTACAAAGGCACAATACCTTTCAAAACCAACTCCTATAAGGAGACCTCACAGTAAAGAATCAGATTTTAAGGCAAACAGAATCAATAACTGATTTTGAAAATAAGGGAGGTCACTTAAGCATAACTTGTGATAAATGTACTGCCTTTATATGACATCAGTGAGACATTTAGGTATGCCTTAGCTGGGGTGAACTGAGCGCAGGCTGGTTGCTCAGCACAAGTTTTACTGGTCACTGAACTGGTATGGCCTAAAGGTAGGGAGATTCACTAGTCCAGAGAAGGGACTGGACTGGACTATCTCGGTAGAAGGACAAGATGCAAAGTGCAGCTCAGCAATGTGTATGTATATAGCACCTTGTGCCAGTGGTGCTATTTTACACAGTAACCCTGACTTTCCTGAAACGTGCAGAAAGGGTTTTATTTCACCCAAGCCATCCTCAGTATGTCATACAAGATACACTTTCAGCTTTTGAGCTGTCTCTTGCTTGCAAACATCTGCATGGATGTACCTGCAGTAATTACCTTGGAGATCAAATAGTAGGGTGATGAATGATCTAATAGCTGAAAAACCTGAATATGTTTCTACCCTTTCTTGAGAAGCAGTCTTGCACATCAGCGGTGTGAAGAATCCCATTCCTCCCTGCTACATAGATAGTCTGCTGCTCCCATTGACCTATATCTATTGTGGGCTTACTGGTTCAATCTTGATTTCTTTTGCTGTTATAATGCCTACAAACTTCTAGGAGAGGCCATTCAACCTTTATTTTTACCACCACGCTCCAAGTCTGTAAAACTTAGCCACAAAGAAAAAAGAAGGGACTGGTTTTATGGAAAAAAAGCACTCTTTAACTGTTCTAAAAATAAGGTATTATAATTTCTGGCCTGTGCTTATGCCATTTCCAGTATTATTTTTCTTGTGAAGATGTCAATGTCTACAGAATGTTGTCAGTGATTTGCTACTAAAAACCCCATAGTGACAGACTGACTCAGAAAAGCTGAGGATTTTTACCTTTTTAAAGTCTCTTTTCTACTTTTCAGTTATCTCCATAAATTCTAAAAGTGAAGGTGAAGACAAAGTAGGATTGAGAATAAGGTTTAGATTTAATGCTGAATGGGACCCCAGAAGTCATTTATTATTCTTTTTTTTCCAGTAGGGCACGAATGTAAAACAGTTGAAGATCTCTCAGTAGTTAAGTGATGAAATGCTTTACCAAAGCTTCATGATTTATGTTTTATTATTCTGACAGATTCAACTGAAATTTCTCATATATCTATGAAATTTGGGCATTGACATTCTTCAGAGAAACTGTGTGTCCCCATAGGTCCCATACCCCCAAAGTCATGCTGGGGTTTGTCTCACCTGGCTGCAGACATCTTCAGTGTGGACTGAAGTAAGATACCCGAGTTGACTTTCAGACTCAGAAGAGAGACATGGTTACTCCTAGGAGAAAGTTCATCCATTCATTTAAACTTTAGACTTAAAAATGAGATTAATTTTTCCCTGGAAATCCTGAATTTGCCCACATCAGTGTTAAAACAGTCGATGCTTCCTAGAACTGAACACTTTAGGCTTCTTAAGGGAAGCATACAGCGCAGCTTAACACCTCCTTTCTGAAAGCATTCAAAGTACTTCCCAAGGCCTGACTCCCAAGGAGCTGCCCATTATGAGCTTCAATAAAACTAGAAAGTTACGTTTTACTGTCTTTTATATGCTCTGCATTTTTATTTTGAATGTCTGTTTAATTTTAATGCTTTCATCTATAATGGCTTTGCTTTTGCAGGTCAATTTTTTCTTTTTGCTTAACATTGTCCGAGTTTTGGTGACAAAGCTAAGAGATACCCACCGTGCTGAGTCCAACATGTATATGAAAGCTGTCAGAGCCACTTTAATCTTGGTGCCCTTGCTAGGAATTCAGTTTGTTATCATTCCCTGGAGACCTGAAAACCGACTCGCTGGAGAAATATATGATTACATCATGCATATATTAATGCATTACCAGGTATGTTATACAGTAGTAACTTCAGCTTAGGTTAGGTGCTTGCTTTAGCCAAAAATGTTGTTGTCAGTTGTTTTGCCCTGAAACTGAGCATGACTGTGGTTTTGAGGTTCTTTACCAACCACTTTCACATTATTGCATTATCTGCCTTTGCAGGTCTAGCATCACTGCATAAAGCACAATGATAGGGGAAACAATGAAAAAAGTAGTAAAATTATCAGGTGACACTATCTGTAAACTGATGAGAGAAAACTGAGATCAGAGGGCTTTTATGTTCCAATGCGATTTCTGTTCAAGTGCTCAAAGTGACTGAAACTGGTGCTGTGAGGTTAATACTAAAATTAGCTGTGTATACAGACTGTTGTACAGAGGGAATGCCAACACACAGAAGAGAAGACAGACAATGAAGCTTCATTTAGGAGTTAAAATTACATTATTAGGCAGTTTAAATTAAAATATAAGCCTGGCATTTTGATTTCATAAGTCTGTTGAAAATACAGCATCATTCATTGTTATTATCTGGTTCACTGACTCTAATATATCCAGTCCTATATTGACTAGGAAAAGCAGATTTCTAATGCATTTGTGAATAGTGGTCAACATGGATGAGAACAGTGACCCATTTCTTGTTTCCTTTCATACTTAAGCTAAATGCACAAATTATTCTAATGTTGTAGTAGGAAAACAGCTTAAAAAAAATTAGTTCTGCTTTTTCTTTAAGCGAAGTGGTAAATAATGCTACCAACATCTGTCCATCCTGTCATCTTAGATGGGTTTATCACCCTTATCCATTCAAAACTGTGTGTGCATAGAATAACTAAAGTTATAGGTCTATTTTTACAGTGCATGCCATCTTGTACCTCAGTTCTGCATAAAAAGAATGAATTTGTTTCTTCTGTTGTTACCTGCATCATCACTTCTTTGGTCTCAAGAGCTATAAAGGAATATCTCCAAATAACTTTTCTGTTGACAACTTGCTTAGAGTTTTAGTGAGTTAGGGTAAGATCAAGTGTTACAGTAATTATTTTAGTCTTAAAACATCTTTCAAATCATGTGAGGTTGTCAGATAATTACAAAAAGAATGTTAATTATCTTAATTAACAATCCTAATTATGATCATTATGCAATAGAAAGTCACCAAGCAAGGTTAAAATAGAACCATAAACAAAGCCAAAGTATTGTGTAATTGTCGTACTGATGGATGGGATCACGTGAGGGATCAAAGGAGGCAATTGCATCTCCAGTTGATTCCTTCAGCCCTTGTTTCAGTCATCAGGAGTGGTTGTCTTTCCATGCCTTGTTGACCCCAGTTGCCCCTTGCTAATACATTTTGTTTCATTTCAGCAGCAGTGATGGTGCTGGGGGCACTGTTATGGGCACATGGTAGGGGCTGCCCATGCCCCACTGCCACTGTGCCTAAAGAGGCCACTAGGCATGCCAAGGGAGACAGACCACCCAGGGCTATCCCCAGACCAGGACAGCAATGCAGACCTCATAGAAGAGCTCTTGACACTCTGCAATATAATCTCAGTGTGCTTCCCGACAGCATGTGCAATTTGACCTTTCAGGAGGGCTATTGAGTTGTCCTGATAACTGCAGCCAAATATGACTCTCCCTTTTCTCCTTAGAGCAGGTTTTAAATTGTATTCTAAACCAGACTTCCTTAATCCTTTCCCACACATTTCTTGTATGCATATTTAAGATAGCCAGCTACCTAATAACTCCTCTGGTGCTCATTTTCTTCTAAGACTGATTATGTAATTAGCAGATACTGTATTAGCTTGTGTAACGGCTGTATTTCCCTGCTAGCTATTGCTCTCATAAACAGCAGCACAGCCTGCTTCTCCATCAGCTAGCAGCAGTCTGTCAGTTTTTGCATCCCGTGGCATGTCAATCATATACAAGTAGGCTTCGTGGGTGCAATTATCATGTGTTTTGGTGGAAAATAGAATACATTCTCCGCTTCTTGTACTGGTTAAACGATTAATATTTTATGACTTTTCTAAAACAGAGAGACAGTTTTTCACCAGCACGTCGCTGCTTTAAGTGAACATGATGGTTGATATATCAGTTACATTGTCCATGTATACAGAAATGGTGCAAACAAGCACTGCAGTTTATCGTAAAAATCAGAGGATAGAAAATGATGAATGAGAGAATTTGTTCCCACAAGAAACTGTGTAATGATACAGTTTTCACAGTTGAAAAACAACATGTTGAGATGTTATGTGCTAGGTTTCCTCTGCTAAAGTCACTTCTGAATAACAGAAGCCAGTCTGGATTGGAATTGTCCTGCTCTTTTTGCAATTGTATCAATCAATGCACACCATTTTAAGCAGCATGTTTTTTTTTTAATATGGCTGTATGTCTGCATCCCTTGTTCTGTTTCCTTTTGGAAAAGGCCCACATTACTCCTAGTCTGTCTTTTGTTTGCTACATACCTATAGAAGCCCTTCCTGTTATCTTTGACATCCCTGGCTGGACTCAATTCTAACTGGGCCTTAGCTTTCCTGACCCGGTCCTTAGCTTCCTGGACAATGTCCCTGTTTTTTCCCAGGCCACCTGTCCTCACTTCCACCTTTAATAGGCTTCCATTTTCCTTCTGAGTTTTCTCAGCAGCTCCTTATCCATCCGTGGAGGTTTCCTGGCCCTCCTGTTGCATTTCCTTCTAGTCAGGACACGACACTCCTTTGACCCTGACCCACAAGCTCTCTTTTGGCTCATCATCTGTCCCCAGACAGAGTTCCATACTCTCTAGCATATAATTGACATTAAATAGCTGTACCCCCTCCCCATCTGCCTGTCCTGTCTTCCCTAAAAAGCCTATAACATTCCATTCCAACACTCTAGTCATAAAAAATAAATGTGTCCTCTGTGATGTCAAACCAAACAGAAACACTTTCTCCTTCTGTGCAAAGCTGAAATCACAGGACTGCTTTTGAAAACATAAGTGTTTGGTTTCTTGGTGTGTTTTTTTTACTTACTGTTCTTTTTCTTTGCGTTATTACTAATTTCAGAACTCTCTAATATCTTGAGCCAATAAAAATTGGGGAAAATGTTTTTCTGAAAGATAGTTATTATAAAGTGTCATTTTTGTATGCAAAATTCATGTACAAAATTACAGTAATGAAATCTCCAGCAGAGAGTAAGAGAAGCAGCAAAGTGTGAGCTCTGGTTCGTGGGATGTCTCCATCATTTTGCAGCAGGTAGGCTCCCATCTTCAGCCCTCTCATGACAATCTCCCCATCTCAGTAGCAGCAGAAACTGCAGACATGTTCTTTGCTTTGCTTATTTTATTTAACCTAATATAAATGAACACTTTATAACACAGTCCTTTGCCTCAGACACCATATGAATGTGCTGTGAAATAAGAGGATGAGGAACACAGTACTGTTTCTCTCAAAGCTCTTTATCTCTGCTTAAATGAGAGAGATGGGAATGGGAAGTACTTCTATGAAAAATCTTGGCCACACTTTTTTCCTTTTTTTTTTTTTTGCTGTCCATTCAGATCCAGAGGTGAGAAGAGAATGGACATGGACCAAAGCCCACACAGAGAATCACAAACTGATTTTTTTATAGCATAGCCACCTGTATAATTACATGTACCATCATCTTCTACCATTAGTAATGGATATATCATCCAACTAAAGCCTAAACAGCAGCACAGCGTGTAATTAGGGCAGAACCTAATGCCATGGACATACTCGGGAGTAACAGGAATAAGCATGTCTATATATAACTTCTTGTTTTACGGAGACATAAGCTAGAAGAAAAACAAGTGAGGTATCAAAAACCTGTATAATTTTGCAGTGTCTGCAGAAGTGTTTGCTTGTTAAGTTGTTTTCTTTTCTTTTTAACCTGAGTAAATTACCATAACTTCTCTTCAAGATGCATGTCTTCTAGGAGAGTGAGATAGAAATTAAATACCTGTTAAGCAAAGAATGTCCTTGGACCAGTATAGGCACTTTGACATAGGGAAGAACTCACTATGGCGCCAGTAAGGTACATGAAGGTCTCAGAGACGCTGACTCTGGACGATCCCTAAGGCATGATTTGGATGAAAGCCACATTCATCTGGTCTTCACATAGTTCCAGAAATAAAGATTTTTCAGACGAAGGCATTGAAGGCCTTAATATTACAATAAATGTATTCTTCATTTCTGGCTTCAGTACCACAGCCAAAGTTATCCTGCTGGCAGCAGACAACGTGTCACAGGTCAGTTTGACAACTCCACACAGTGGCAGAAAGAGATAATTGACCTAGAGATCCCATCCTCAATAGGAATTGCACCCTGAGCAAAAAAACAACAGCAGTTACAGATAACATGGAAGATGTATGTCAAAGAGGTACGAGAAATAACCTGTAAGCCTTACATGAAATAACCTACATCCAGTCTTTCACATGTTTTAATAGATGCATTGTAAAATTATCATCATCCTAAGCCTTCCTGACTCTGAAAAGACAAAGTTGTGTCTGTTACTGATAGGTCTATAGCTTTACAGCTGAAGATACCAGTAGTACTGAGCCATGGGCAAAACTTCATGATAAAATGGAAATAGAAATAGCGCTGGAAGAGCCCAGAGGGCTGTTGCTAGTGCAAGAAGAGCAATGAGACATAATATAAGACAAACTGGAGAAAATAATTTCTTCAGCCCAAGATGTACCATCTACATGGTCTCAAAATAACAAGGAGCCAGATGTGCTCTCAACTCACTCCAGACCAGAAGAGCAATTAGCAGGGATACGAGGCATCACCGCAGCTTCCTCTTTAGCTTTGCTGTCTGAAGTTGGCTCGAAAAAATGCTAGTTAAGGGAGCAGCACTCTACAACAGAAGACAAGTAGAGCAATTGCAGGGTGTAGAAGAGGAATTCAAGTATTATACAGGAACTGAAATGGAAAATGCTTTCACTTCAATAGTTCAGGTTCAGTTTCTGCCTTTAGGTGAACTGCAGTTTCCGAATTCCCCCTGAGCACCTTTGCTGAAGAACAGACTTAAAAAATTTCTCTGCTTCTTCCTCTCCTCCTGCTGTCTTTCATGTCTGCCTCATGTGGACTGTCCACTGAGCGTCCCTACTCCCAGAGGAGATCAAGATAGATACATTTCATTTGCTAGCTGACTGCTGTTAATAAAAACATACTTTGGCAAACTAGCAAAAAGACCCCTGCTGCAGCCATGTACCATGCAGTTCAAAACAGCAGATGTTTTGCAAGACTCTGCAAATTACTGCAGTGTGTGCAGCACAAGAGAAAAATCAATATAGGCCCCTGGGAAGTGACGCATTTGCTCTCCTTGCATAAATTTTCCATTTAGGAGTCTGTGGTCTGACAAAGTCCTGCTTTAAAGGTGTAAGGTTTTGGTTGACTTCTCTGTGGCGTTTCTCGAACCAGAGCTAATGGACGATCTGTTGTGCATTGTATATTGTATACTGGGATTTGAGGGTTTTGAGAATACTCACTGTTTTACCAAAGCATGAAAAGAAACGTTTTTTTTTCTCACTATGTCTACCCTTCCTCCTCCTCACACGTGCTTTTCTGTGTTGATATTTGAAGTCATGTCACGTTACAAGTTCTCTGGTAGAAAAAAATTTTTGGAGTAAAATAATTGCCAAAATTGCAGTGGTTAGCACCTCTTCAAACCAGCCTGTGTATCTCTAATACGTATTTTGTTAAAACAGTTATTTCTTACCCTTCTTTTGTCATCCAAAATACGCAGTTGTGAGTCCAAGACGTTTTAACAAAGCATTAGCTACAATTTAACTGGCAATGAGTTAAATGAGGGTTTATAAAAAAGATACAGCTGTAAAGCCCTTCAGAGCAGCTCTTGGGAACACAAGCTATTGTACTGCAGTTTTCCCCTCCATTTCACAAACTGCTGTACATTTAGTTTATAATAACTGCTCTAAGTAATTTAAAATGAAGGAATTTGGCTCCCAGCGATGCTATGTAACACTATTTTAATAAGAGCAAGTGTGGTTAGTATGTGGACCAGTGTAACTAAATGATTCTGAGCGGCAGGCTCTATGTGCAAGAATTTTCTCTTACTAATTACACACTTTCCCACCTTATGTTTCTACCTTCACCCTGTTTAATCTTGTAGCAGTAGTGAAATGTTATCTGAACCACCGTGGCAATAATTAAATTAATTTTAAGCCATTTAGGACTCAGCTCTGATCTACAATTTCTCTTCTCTATTTTCTGCGCCACCCTCAACCACCACCTTCTAACTCAACTGTTGTGTTTTGGTTCTTTTTTTTCCTTTTTCTAACCACTTATACCTCTTTTCACATCCTCTCCATCCATCATGATGCCACACATACAAATTCATTTATCCTGACATGCAGTTCAATTTAAAGCCTTCCTGGTGCAGAAGGATTCTTCTTGGCCAAGAGCTTTTAACTGGGGTAACTGCACTCTGGCAACATATAGGACACAAGTCCTCTGCCAGCTTTTCAGCAAGGTCAGTGCAGTGTGGTACTCCACTCTAAGCAAAATATAGACCTACATTACAAACAGTTTAATTTTCCTTTTCCAGGCCTCTTGTACAAAAATAACTTCATAGCCAAACTAGATAATCTATAAATGCTAGTGTCCTGTTTTAAGCCCAGCTGGTAACTCAGCACCATGCAGCCACTCTGGGATGGGGAAGAGAATGAAAAGACTGTAAGTCCCACAGGCTGAGATAAGAACAGTCCAGTAACTAAAGTATAATATAAAAACTCTACTACTACTACTACTAATAATAATAATGGAAATAACAAGGGGAGAAAATATAAAACTCAAAGGGAAAAGGGAAAAAAGAAGACAATAAACACAAGTGATGCACAATGCAATTGCTCACCACCCACCGACTGATACCCAGCTCAGCCCAAGCAACAATCCTTTCTGGGACTCACCCCAGTTTATATGCTGGGCATGACGTGCTGTGGTATGGAATACCCCTTTGGCTAGTTTGGGTCAGGTGTCTGTTTCTGCTCCCTCCCAGCTTCTTGTGCCTATCCTCACTGGCAGATCATGAGAGACTAAAGAGTCCTTGATCAGGGTAGGTGCTACTTGGCAACAACTAAAACATCTGTGTGTTATCATCATTGTTTTGAGACTAAAGCCAAATGCAGCACTGCACCAGCTACTATGAAGGAGAAAAAAATCACTGTTACAGCTGAAACCAGGACAGCTAGTGATATAGAAAAATGTTAAAATATGTTGAAAGACAAAAAATGAATGTAATAAGATAACTGTGAAAGAGGGGGAGGTTAAGTGAAGGTTCTGCGATGCAGAGGAAGTGGACTAATGATTTTTGTCTTGTACCCATGAAGTCCAAATTTCCAAACACCAAAAAAGTTTTGCATATTCTGATCTCTAAACTTTTCTTTTACTTTCTCTTAGGGCTTACTTGTGGCAACTATATTCTGCTTCTTCAATGGTGAGGTAAGCATGTGAAATATAGCAAATGAATGGAACCTGAAAAATAGTCACAGTAGTGTTCATTAATCATGCCACACTGTAAACTTTGAAACCACATGTCACTTTTTACTCTCTATAAACAGGCAGCAGCATGCATTTTTGAAAGATCTCTGCAGAGCGAGACTTGAGCCTCTCTGAGCAGATGAATCAGGAGTGCTACCATTACCTAAAAGAGGGACAGGCCTGATATTCTACCCCTACCAGCTGCAATTTTGAGATGGAAGTCTAAGCAAAGAAGAATACTCTGCTTCTGTTTCTGCCCCAGAATAGTGGGAAGGACGAGGGTGCCCCATAAGAAGTAGTGGGGATCTGCAGGGGCATGTCCTGGAGAGCCCTGTGCTGCTTTTAGCGTCAGAGCCATGGCAGATGTTATCCCCTGTAGCACTGTCAGAGTAGAGGAGCCTGAAGGAGTATGATTACTTTCGCTCCTTTGAGGATTAGCCTTTTTAAGGTCAGTGTTTTTCACATAGTAATTGAAAAATAAAAGCACTTGAGGCGAAGATGTCTCCCATTCTCTTACAGCTGGATCAATATTGTATGTACCTGTAGCTGGATTTAGATCCACTTCATTACCTTTTGGTTGTTTTTTCTTAACAAAAAAAAAAAAATAGCAGATTAAAATATGTCAAGAACCATTTAAATTCCTACAGTGAGCCATTTTCCAAAGGCGGTTAGCAGAAAAATATATCAGGAGCATTCAGCTGTAGCAAAATAAAACACCACCTATCTTAGCCAAGCTAGGAAGTTCTTTAAAAAGTTATTTTTGAATCAGAGCAGCTGAATTAGATATGGAACAAACTTTGTGATGTTAACACTCAGTATGTCAACTTAAAGAGATATTTGTACTCCTGTTTATCCCCAAATCCCAAGTAATGATGTGGCCATGCTGATGTTTTGATAGCGACTTGAAGCAAATTATGTTATTGATAAGGTGCTACTGGCTGCTTTGCTAACTTTCAGTATGGCAGAGAGTATTAAATTCTGCCACCACTTGTCAGCATCACTGTCCATTTCCCTCTGGCTGGCTCCCTGCATAAACATACAGAAAAGTGCAACAGTAGAAAAGATTAAAGGCCTCCTGCTGTAATTCTGTAGCATGGCTTCTCAGGAGACATACAAAAGAATGACAAAGCATGAGCAGCTAATGACACCACAACCTAACATCAAATGATAGCTGTAAAGATCATGCTGCAGAAGTTCATGGTTTCATGGACCCAATTAAACAAAGCTGGAGAGATGTACAACTCTTTTCCTATCACTTTTCTGTCCCCAGAATCTGCAGGCTAGTAACACTTTCATCCTTCTTCCTTACTATCATCCCTTTCTGGCACAGTCCAATCTCCATGCCCTGGAAACACAGAAAAACTACCAATTCTCCCTGGTAGGGAGGACCTGGCATGGAGAAAGAAGAGTAGTAGCCAAGTAGTTTCTGAAACAACCTTTCCCCATAGGAATGACTGCATAGATATGTACAGGCAGTGCTCTAGCATGTTCTCACTTGCCTCCAAACAATGTGTTACCCAAAAATCACGGTCTTGAACACTGTCTTCTTCCTTCTTAGTTTTCCCCAGCATCACCTTACTTTTCTTTCAGATTAGATTTTGAAAAACAAATTTGCTTCATATTGGGTAGCTGTAGTGTAAAAAAGGTTGATGACTCCGTAATTCTCCAACTCTAATTAGAACATATAGATTTGTGCCTAGATTAAAGGCTGTAGCAACGCTAAAAGTGAGGAAAGGCTGCAAGAAAATGCACTGAAAACATAATGTATTTTAAAGGCTTTTTGTTTCTTAGATATGTTTCCTCTGATAGCTCTAATTCCGAAGTACTTTTGGCAATGCCAGTGTCAGAAAAACAAATCCACATTTACAACACCAGGAATACAATTTTCAAGTTATGCAATAATGAATATATCTGGAACATCTGTTTGTCAGCATCATTGTAGACCATACATAAAATTTAATTCAAAATTAGATTGCAGGGTATGGATGAATTTACCTGTCGTATGAACTAATCTATAGTATGCAAGGCAGAAAACTAAAAGCCACATTCCATGAATGAAAATTAGTCTAAAACAAATACACAGTTCTTTTTTTGTTCACTAAATGTTGTATTACATTTAATTTAGAATTCAGAATAAATGTATTTGTATTAAGAAAATACACCACATTAATACATGATATTCAGATGTCCAACCTCAGAGACGCACTGCAATCTGTGGACTTCTGCATTGACTGAACTGCTTTCAGGAAGCAACAATAGCAGCCAGTCATTCCTTACATAGACTGAAGCTGCATGGTCTAGATCCAAATCTTAAAAAACAGCAATAGTCACCAAACCCCTAGCTGCTTCTGAAAGCCTTTTAGACACATCTGGCAGCCCACAGTAAAAAGGCCTCTTCCTTGTGAAAGGCTCTTATCTGAATACCCACTTTGAATAGATAAATTGTCAGCGAGACATCACTGAAGGGACACATCTGGAAAGGATGATGCCAAAATGAGATAAAAATTAATGTGATATTGAAATGTTGCTTCCAGTTTTGTACTTTATTGCTTCCATAAGTAATCTCATGGACAGCTTACCTATCTCCAAGTAGCTCTACACTGCATCTAGGATTAATGACTCCTTTTAGGATTAACAGTTGAGCAGCTATCAGAAAACATTCATCAGTGTTGGGCAGTAAGAACAAACGGCCATGGGAATTCAGGTTTCCAGGCATATTGAGAGTGATTTTTGGTGGTGCTTGGGTACTTTTCACCATTACACCCGTTTTCAGAATTATTGTATCTGCTTCAGACTTCCAGACTGACTAACATAGCCAGTGGCAGGGATGCTAAGAAACCCACTCGTTATTTTCTTATAGGTAGACAGAGAGTCAAAGATGACACCTCTCTAATATGGACTGAAGAGAGTCTGGTGCTACTTGCATCAGCACATTACCAGTAAACATCAAGCAAGTTTATGTAACTACACTAGCTGTGCTAGAGTAGCATTTATTCCTGCAATTACACAATATGTAGATATATAAGGCACAAAACCTATAGAAGAACAGCAACAGACTAATGAATGCCAGGATGGTATTAGGTCCTCCCACAAAGGGAGTGCTGGTCTGAGTTTGGTTGCCCAAGAAAACTAAGCTGAGGTAACTTCCCCCAGTCTTGCTGTGTGCAGAAAGACATAGACCAAAGCCACAGTCTGGTCTTCAGTCATGGCAGGAGATTGTTTCCAAGCTGCTGTGTACATCTGCTGCCATAGAGCTCAAAATTGGTGCTCATGAGAAAATTCCTTGTGGGGCAAGGAGATTAATTTTAGTACTACAGGAGCCTGAATACTCTGGGATTTACTTTTTCCTACTGGAATATTTAACTTCAAGGCTGAAATACATGAAGTTTAGCCAGGACAAACAATGCTAAACGCAGTACCACCTGACAGTGTTTTATGTTGCATTCATTGCCTACTACCTCACCTATCTCACTTTAGTGCCATGAGCCCATCTGTAGAAAGAAATGTAAAAATATAAATAGCTGTGCTGATGCCTTCATTCAAGTGGAAGAACACATAAACAACGGGTTTGCATGTGACTTTTAAAATGACTGATTTTCTTGTGCATTTTCATAAATAAATCTCAGTGTCCAGCAACACTGTAGGTTCTCTGTCCAACAACAACAGTTGTTGTACAGATGATACAAGGTCTCTGCAATAGTCTGCTCACCAGACCATATTTCCAGGCCTGAGATTGTTTCTAGACTTCAAGGCTGGCCAGCAAAATGGAAAGTCTGTTTGGAAGAAAAACCCAACCATATATCTTGTGTGCCAGAGAGGCATGAATGGCTAATAGGGAATAGAAAACTCTTTAAAATCCTAAAAGGCAGAGCAAATAAACTCGTGCTTTTAATTTCTTTTGACTTTACTTTCTTTCATCTGCTATCAGAGCAGAAAGCATGGCAGTCATCACTCTGCCCCTCCTGGTCCCCAGGAGCCTCTTTGGTCGTTAATGCATTATAGCCATGCGTGTGATTTTCAGTAATGCTTCTTACACATTTAAAATCTATGCATGGCCAGTTTTAGTTGGCACTGAATTATGATCATCTGAGATCCTTGGAATCGTGGCAGAAATCTAGATTAACACGTTGTTTTGCTCAAGTGCAGCAGCTTGTACTATCCATTATCCATTTGTGGCCAGATTCCTGCATGGGCCAGCAGTTCAACAGAGAATAAAAACACAGCTGCTTTGACCTTGTGCTCTCACTGTTCTGTGGAGCCTTTTAAACCTTTATAATGGCACTCCTAATTGTGGACTGAACTGGAAGGGATGTGCCTGTTCTCTCCTTGACCGTACATACAGTTTAAGTGTCATTCCCTTCTGAGAAGAAAACTATAAGCTCCTCATGGCAGGGTTTTTAAGACTCAGTGACTTTGTTCTTCCCTCCTCAGTTAAACATGTTGTCTCCAGACATGTGATTGCCCTAGTGGTCCAGTTCTAATGAGAGCAGCTTGAGAACTCAGAAGGAGCTCATCACCTTCACAGCAGCTTTTCTTCCTATACAAGAGCCATCAAAGCCTTGAGGTCTATGCAAGGGGCAGGGGAAGGGAGATAGATAGGAGAGGAACAGGAAGGCTATAAGAGCATGTTCTTGCCATCTTCACTAAAGACCCTGAGATAAATCTGAATGGATGAACTGCTGTGAAATGAAAACACTTCGATACTTAGGGACAGAAGGCCAGAGGTTCATGGTGGCTAGAGGTGCTAAAGACCCTGGTGGTGGTGGTGAAGAGATAGCTGCAGGTTTGCAGAGCAGCCCTGCACACCCAAGAATTCTGCTTTATCCTCACTGTGTCCAGCATTAGTTACAGTGTGAGTGCCAGCACACCTGAATATGCAGTCAGAGAAGGGATTCTTATTCCCTGGAAGGACTCAATAGATCAAGTCATCTCCTAGCACCATATATATAACATCACTCTTAATGTAAATGTTGAATAAAATATTTTTATTCCTAGAAGGTTAATGCCCAAAGTTTGAGATTTTCTGTGATGCAGAGGGCTATGACCAATGCTATTTTTTTTGCCAGCACATAACCTGCTCTTAAATTACCTGAACAAAACCTCTGTTTTGCAGTACTAATCCTCCAACTCTTTCTACAAAATTACCCCCGGAAAGCTCTTGAAGTGTACTTGCCATTCATGGCCAGTTGTGCTCAAGGTTAAGTTTCTTCAGGGATCACAATGCATTTGCCGTTCCAGGGGCAAGGATCCAACTGCAGCATCAGATAGGTTTTAATCCACATCCCTCCTTCCTTTTCTCTCTTCTACTGTAGCATTCTGCTGTATTCCCCTGTAGCAGTCTGTTTCACATTTACCTCTTGTGGGAACAGATCACCTATACCCTCTCTTCACAAGCAGCAACTGCAGAAACTGTAATTGCTACCATAGGGTAAGTAGCGAGGGAGTTAAGGCTGAGACCTGAGCAACTGCTACTGCTTCTGGAACTGGGAGCAGTGGTGAGGAGAGGGATAGATTGAACCTAATGGAATTAGACCTAAATCCTTTCCTTTCCTTTCCTTTCCTTTCCTTTCCTTTCCTTTCCTTTCCTTTCCTTTCTTTCCTTCAACATATTTTAGAACGTCTCATATAGGGATTTAGATTATGCCTAGCTATGTGTTTCTTTAACAGGTACAAGGAGCTTTGAAGAGGCAGTGGACACAGTACAAAACTCAGTGGGGCCAAAGGCGCCGAGAACACTGTTCCACGCGATCTACCTCCTACACTGCCACATCTATCACGGAGGTCCCTGTCTACTTGTACCATCATGATTCCAACAATGAACAGTTAAATGGAAGATACATAGAGGACTCTGAACTTGTTGCATTAAAATCTGGGGAGACATCTGCCTAGCTCAGCACCAGCCATTGCAAATACATCATTTCACATTCTACTTGTGAACAAAGTGGGGACAAGGGTGGGAGTGTGCAAATCCAAGCCGCTGTGTCAGAGGTCAAGACCAGGTGAAAACACATACTTGTCAAACCACATCAGCCTCTGACAGCAATGGCGCAGAGGGAGTCTGATGCAGACCTGGGAATAGCATTTCTTCCTGTGCACTTCAGCAGGGAGTGAGCATGGACCTACTATCCGGGCTATGTAATCTTCACATTTCCTGATACCAGTCGTGGGAGTGACATGTAGTAAATAGTAGTAAGTGCCAGGTAGCCCATAATAAATTGGAAAGAAAGAACAGGTACAAGGCAATTGGAACCTTTCAGTACTTTTTGCTTTCAGTACTTTCCTTTAACACTAGATTTTGAGCTATCAACTTTCACAAGATGTAACTAGCTTGGAGTCCTTTGTTTTCCCCCTTCTAATAAGCTCAGTGACTGCTTAAAAGGTTTTGCACATTGCAAGACAAATCAAACATATGAACAGAAAAAGGGTCTCTCCAAAGTATTCAGATCTTGATCTTCAAGGGATGCCCAAATTATTACCATCCCTACAGGATACCCCAAAATATTATCATCCCATTAGCAGGTGCATAAAGCAAAGGAAAGTGAAATAGACATTGCATACCAAGATCTCAAACGCCTTCAGAGAAACAGATCAGTTCTTTAGGCTGCATCAAACAAGTCCTGAAGGCATCTCAAAATAGTTTTTGTTAACAGTACTGATAGATCAAAAATTTTTATTTATAGGAAAAATTTTCAACCTATCACTCTTCCCAGGAACTCATCATTAAGCCACGATTCTTTCACTCTGAATAAGCTGGGAAATTTGTTTGGAAATCATTATTTTCTTTAATAGCCATTCTGAGATGAATGCTAAATGAGTTCTTGTCTCTTATAAAATTATGACCATAGCAGTAAAGGATCGCAGGTAAGAGATGTCAAATTGATGTCTTAGCACAGGAGGTATCTGGTTTTAGAATCTGGTTCAGAGTGCCTAATCTTAAACTAGTCCTGCCATAAACATCGATAATCTATTTGAAATTCTTCTGAAATTAGCAGACAAATCCCCATTGACTTAGATGAGCAGTGAAGAACTCTCTTCAGTGTTCAGGAATGACTTATGCAATACAGTTCAGCGTAGACCTTGAAAACGGGAGACAATTTCATCCCTAGTGATTTGAAACCATCTTTACATATTGTGTTCAGCCAGGCTCAGCTTTTCCTTCGCTGGCACAGCTAGACCCTAAGATTTACTCTTCTTTTGTAAATTTGAAGTAAGTGGAGGTCTTCTGTACATGTCTATCTACACAAGTCACCATCTCACTGGAGAAGTTCCTTCCGGGAATGAGTTTGTGGGGGACAAGCATACACCCAGCACTATGAGAGCACTACGACTGAATCCTCACTGTTTGTACATGAGGCAATGCCTTGCAGGGAAGGGGTTTGCTCCGCTTGTGCCACCAGCACATGCACACAGCCACTGTGCATTACTAAAGCTTCCTCTCAAGTGTGAGGAGTGAGCTGCCAGCACCGTGACTGTAGAGCAAGAGAGGAGCTGGGGAACGGAAACTAACTGACCACTGTCATTGCAGATCATCCCATGATTAATCCAGTGGAACATTTGCAAGAATGTACTATCGTGTGCATTTGTTCAAGCCACATACCTGTTTTTCAGACTTCAAGGAATATGAAGGTAGTTATTTTTTCAGACAACAGTATTTCGCATATTGCTATTTCTACTTTTACCTGTGAACAATGGGAAGTGGAGGATTTAGTCATTAAAGAAAATAAAGTGAATCTGCCATGAATGCTGTATTTCTGAATAGCTTTGAGGCACACTGCACTTCCCAGGACTGCTGCAGAAGACATTCCTAGTTTCTAAAGACACAAATGAGCTGATGGTAAAAGAAGCGTGCATAATATGGAGTTTAATAATGAATAATGAACATGTTGATTTTAGTAATGTACATGTTTACAACATGAAAGTGCAACTTGTTTCACAGTCTGTTATGTTCATATGGATGTACAAAATGGAAATGTTTTGCCATTGTAGTGGTTGTTTTCTTTCTTCACTAATGACATTTCCTTGCTCTGTTCAGTAGAATGCTTTGAAAAGCGAAATTCAGGATCTGGGGTTTAAGAACTCAGTTTGAGCTTCAAGTGTGGAAACACTGTGTGATTACATCAGTCTTTATGGCAGCTTTTGTTTCAGTGGAGGGATGATGATTTGCAGCCATAAAAATTTGGTCTACCTTACATACTGAGTTTAGGGTTGGCATCACCCTCGGGCTTTGCAGGAAAGAATGTGTTTTAGAGGTACTTACTGAGTAATTTCTAATCAGAATATTTTCGGATAGAAATTTTTTCTTCACCTCAAGATGGTTTGAAATATTGTCATTATATGCATAAGGTAAATTTCACTTCTCTGCTTTATAAATAGTACCATACACTAGTGACAGTAATATTAGGAATGTGCATATGACCTCAGTAATTACAATATCTTGACAGTAGGGTGTTTTGTCTCTAACACATTTCACGGGAACAGCAGAAATGCATATTTAAAGCATCAGTGTATCAAAAAGTAAGAAACGATCTGACATTTGAATTGTGGATTCAAGGTGTATTTTAAGAGGAAATTATATGTTTCCTCTCAAACACCACACACAACACATGAAAACCCAGTTTAATGAACATTTGCTCTGGCAGAAGGGTTTGTGTGGTTGCTTTGTCTGAGCAACTAAATCTATGAGGTAGATGCTGGTTGTGATTCTTTCCTACATACAGAAACACAGAACAAATTTAAAGACTTCTTGTGTCATGGGATGCTGAAATTAAGACTTGGGTTTTTATTTGATTTACTTAATAAATATGTTTTAGCTGAAATAAAATAGCAACAAAGGTAGAACAGTCTATTTTCTCTGTATTAAAATTCTTAGCAATAACACTACCTTAGATATTTGCCAGTATTGCCATTACAAGGGGCTCATGTAGCAAAATAATTTTGTTTTGGGATAAAATCAGCCATACAAATGTGATGACTTTTTGTCCTCTTTTCCCAAATCCTCCTCCATACTTTGCCAACCTCAATAGACAAACTCTGAGCCATTTTTCAAAGATGCAAATCCTAAACAGTAACAATGTGGTGGTATCTGCTTTTCAAGTGCTTGGATTTTTAAAAGTCAGATGTATCTGACTGTTTAGCTAAATCTGCAGTTAATTGATTGCTGCTAAAAAATGTGTGCATTTGTAACATAAATGTCATTTGCATCAAAACAGTAGTTGATCCCAAGCCACTGAGACTGCAGGGTGTGAGCATGCCCTCTCTGCCCTTTGGCAGCATAGGAGACCTGAGCTCTACCGGGTGCAATCTGGACCCATTACTAGCTACATGGGAGAAAAAAAAAAACAAAACCGAAAACCGAAAACCAAAACCAAAGAAACAAAAAGAAGAAGAGAGTTTGCAGATAATGGTAGCGGCCAACGGTGAATTTTGAGTTCCTGGGGCAGCTGGGTCATTACAATGTACCATTGTACTTGCTCCAGGACCACTCACTTCAGAGGGACTTGGCAAAATGAAAGCTTGAGTCCTACAGAGCAAATGTCATAGGCCAGCACTAAGGAAAGTCAGACCTCCAGCTTAAACACTACCTCGGGAGGAAGAACATGTCCCTAGTCAACTAACCTAGTGAAACTGAAGTCCCTGGCCAACCATGAGATTTAGGATGGTGCCAGAGTTATGCTGCTTTGACACCTGTAGTTCTGTGGCAGCTGAAGTAATTAAGGTACATGTAAGGTTTAAGTTCAAAGTATCCTTATCATGTCCTGCATATGTTTCTGTGCAGCACCAAATTTTGCAGGTACTTCCAGATGAATCACGAATCTATATTTAAGCACCCCTTTATTAAGTACTCAGAGCATCATTGTGAAAATTAACGGAAGTGTTTCTGTGTCTCAGAAATGTGATCAGCATGTTCCTCTCAACCTAGTAAAGGACAACTGATTTACCCAGTAAAATTAAGGGGTGAGAAGGTTGTCATTACTGAGCATTTCATACTGATGCAGGTAAAGGAAGCATCGCAGTAAGATGACTAACCAGGTTGTTGTATGTGTCTTCATGAAACAAAAATAGGCACAGACAGCAGTAGCAATGATTTAGGCCTTGCTCATTTGTCTTGGCAGAGGGACCATTTAGATGCCTGTCAAAATCCTGTCAAGACTTATTGTCTTATTACTTTATAGCAGCAAGATGGGCACTGTGTTTTGCTGGGGCAGGAAGGTAATTAGCTCTCATTGTAGGCCATTAGACATTTTCTTCATAATCTAATTTCAGGATCTCACAAGTTTATTTAAAACAAACAAAATAAAAACAGAGACAAAAACAAAACCAAAAACCAACAACTGTCTTCAGTCAGTTTTTAAAGGACATCAGATGTCTGCAGTAATTTTTAAGAATCTGGTTCCTTTTCTCTCAGTGCAAGCAAATGCAACTTTGAGAAGCAACAACAGCAGATTACTTCATGTAATGTGTGATGTGCAGTGGTGTGACTAGATGCAACACTTCCAATACCACATGCTGGTGATGTTTGCATCATAGTTTGCATAAATATGGTCAAGTGGATGCAACTCCTTCCCTCTGCTCTGCATTTCTCTCCACCTCAATACCACCACCACAGGAAGTGTAATTCCCCAGTCTGTGCATCCTACATATTTTCAAGAGGAACATTTCTCCTTTACAGTTTGCACCTTACATTGACTTGCTGTTGATCCAAGATGTACTCTTGGACTGCAAAGTGAGCATTTTAATACAAACCAGTTCATAGAATTCAGGTGCTTGGCCCACATTGTTTGTTTTGGGTTTTCTTAAAAACACTGGAATTATGGAAATGGTAAGTGTAGGTTTCAAACTAAATCGGGGGTAAAAGTCTAAACACAGAGACGAAGTATCTCTAGAAGAAGAATAACATTACCTTTTGCTTTGTGACAGAATCTGTCCTGTCATCTAAAAACCTCAACATCTGAAAATCTCATGGGAAGTTGAATGCTAAATAAAAGGCATAAAAATGCTAACATCTGGAAATTCTAGGTAGCATACATATGCATATATATGTAAATATATACATATGTATGCATATATATATATACATATGTATATTTATAAAAATACATTACTACAAGAACTGTGTTAAGGTAGGGACTGACCCGTAGTCCCCCCTAAAATGCACAAAGCATT